AAACAAATGACAAAGTTTCCACACATGAAAAAAAAGCACAAATTTTGAATTACTAAGTGTATGAATCAATGAAGAGACACTAACAGAAAACTGACTCTTCCAACACACATCTTCAAGTCCAGAGCTAGAAAGAACTAATGAGCAGAGGCATTTCTATGTGGGTGATAGGAACACTAGTTTGCTGAGATGAAGTACTGGGTACTTAATACACAAATGCAAAAAGTACCTTCTGGTCTGAAAGAAATCCCATTATGAATGGCAACAGCATGGGTGCATAGCTGTTGAGGTGCAGTGGAAGCATGTTTTGGCCCATTAGGTGGCTGTGTTGCATTTTGAAGCAGTTTCTAGGTTGGAGTATTGTTACCAAATAATCCCACGTGGACTGATTCCACTGCAGCTGCACCAGAGTTAGCAACAATGGGAACCTTAGTATAGACAGCTTTCAGTTCCAGCAGCCGTTTTCAGCACTGTATCAGTTAACCCTGCTCTGAGGAGGGTTAATTGACACAGTACTGCAAATGGCTGACTAGATGAAAACTCATATATTATGCCTCCCAACATCTCTAACAATTGTGCAGCTGCATTCATATTGGCAATGGTGGGAATTTGGAGGAGCGAAGAAATTCCCCAGTGCAGACAAAGCCTAAAAGTGAGCCTTAATATTCTTTTCTGGGTCTTTTTTGTCAGTCACAGTCATGCTTCCCTAAAACATTCTCAGAGCCATCTCCAGGTTGCTGATTATGAAGCAACAGCCACTGTTGGTCCCACCAGCTGGATGAAAAGAGTGGAAGAATGGGGATACAGCCTGGCCCATCTCATAGGTGCACTCAAGGTTCATGTGCCTGCTCTTCTCCTCTCTCTTCTATCCCGACAGGCAGCACATTCTAAAAGAACCAGAGAAAATCACAAATGAACTTTTCCCACAAATGCAGACAGTGTTTGCAAGATGTACTTCTCCTGCACTGCCTGGTTCTCTGGCAGCAGGGTATCAGGATTCCCAGGTCCCTGAGTACCCACTGTAGCCTTTAACTACATAAGTATCTTTGGCCTCTCTGGTTGGCCACAGAAGTGGAGTACCCACTCAAAATACAACCTTTCAGACATGGCAACCTGTAGCCCTGGTAGGCCAAGGCTGTTCCTCTGAGGAGTTTTCTGAGGCAGTGCAGAGCTGTAAGCTTCTTGAAATACGGAGGAAACAGTCAAAAAAAATTCTTTCTGAATTTTACCATCTGCTCTCCCATTCCTGGCAAGAGATCTCTTTCAAAGTTAAAAAATTGCTGCTTCCCCTGAGCTAAGGCCTTAAACCTACTAACACTGCCCCTTTTGAGTAGTTTGCACTCCAAGAGAACTAGGGTGGAGAAAACAGGACCTGCTAGAGTAGAACAGAGGGGTGTCCTGACTCTGCTCTCCTATGTATGTACACAGTGAGCAGGCATTATAAAGTTGGGGACATGCTTCCTATCACACATTTGGCATCACAGACCTTCAGTAGCACCTTGTAAAAAATAAAGAAGTTCTCTCCTTGTGTAAAAGCACTACCAGCTGAGACCATCTGAGCTCACAGACTGGTGGAGTTAGTTGTACTTATGTATGGGCTATGTTAGGTTGCTATCTATAAGTGACATCTCCCTGTGACCATACAGCATGGTTTCTTCTGCATCCCTCAGCTTTTGAGAAAGGAAATAGATGAAGAAGTGAGCAAGGGAAGCTATTTGTTGCCACTATTTATAATCTCCAAGGCCTATTTAACCTGTAATTTTCTGTCTTTCTAAAAGATACTTTCCTGCAACCTTGGTTCTGATGCAAAATTTTACTGCTGCTATTAGAATGCACAATTTAAAAAATCTCCTCTGGGAAGAGAGGCCAGTTAAACCTCTACAAGCCATCACATTGATTACAGAATAACAAATGGCCTCTTTATAAGTGTTCTGGGTTTGGTAGCAAAATCTGCACGTTATTTTTCATTGTCTTCTTAATTTCCGAGGAAATTCCTCTAATTTCTTTGGAAATGCCCTGAGTTTAAGACTCACGGAGACTAGAAATCAGGCCAGATTTTATGTCTATAAATTTCCTATACTATTATGAATGGTTCCAGAAAACAAAAAAATAAAGCCACTGATAATTAATACTTCTGTTAATAGACCAAAGCTTAAATCCCAGACCAAAGCTGGTGGAAAGTACGTCATGTCTATTCCAGTGACTTTGCAGTAGTCCCTTTGATTAATTATAAAGTTGTATTCACTGGTGTTTGCGCTGAATATTGTGCAAATACAGCTATACTGTCAGAGAATGGATTGGAACAGTGGAAAGAACCGCTACCACATCTGTTTTGGAAAGGAACGTGGAAAAAAACAAAGAGCTGTCTCTGGCTCCTCAGCTTCCATCATTCACTTGAGGAAGTCAGGCTTTCTGGGTTCTGGATGTCGTGTTGCTTACCTGGGTTAAGGTACTCTGTATGTAAATGACATAAGAACAAGTTTTCTGATGAGTCTAGTCAGCTCTGTATCCACTGAGTTGCCATAAGGCAATGTCAGTATCAAGGAACTGATTTATTGTCTAAGCACTTTTGGTTAAGGAGGGAATCAGGATAGTTTCAAATAAATGAAAGACCCATTGTTGTTTAGATACTGGATACTGATTCTTATGATGGTGAATCTGTAGTCAGAAAGACCCAAACTCCATTGTGCTGGGCACAGTGCAAGCATCAAGGCTTTTCTTGTCCAGAACAGCTTTAAAACAGTGAGCTTAGGAATACTGATCTCATGAGAAAATGATTTGCTTATGGCTGTATGTAAAAACTCTTTGAACTATAGCATTTTTACTAGAACTGCTCAAGGGAGGACTAGTGGTACAATTAATAGCCCATATAGGATGATTCTGTAGAGACGGATGTTTTGGAGCAACAGGCTTTTACCAGTTGCATGTAACACTTTCTTCCAGAGAAATGGACACATGAATATGCTTTAAAGAGATTAATGGATGTTATAAAAGTTATGTGCTGCTGCACTTCAAACTAAAGACTCCACAACCTCCACTTGGAATCCTGATCGCATACAGCAGCTTACTCTTTTGATGTACAGAATAGATGTAGGGCTCTATGGACTTCTTCATGGTGTGATGGGAACCAAATATTTTACAAAATGCAGTGGGACTACAAGGCTTTTCTGATAGCTGTTAGATTGAACAGGTGGACTGTGTCTATCTTCCATAGCTGGTTGCTTTTGGGGATGGGAGTGAAGCAGGCTTTGGGATTCTTGTGATTGGATTAAGAACACTTTGGCAATATTTTCAGCCTTAAGAAGTGTTCTAGGATTACTCTTTCTTTAGCCCATCTGTCTGCAGTGTACTTTTTTCTATTCCATAGAAAATAACTCAGCTGTCTCCTCAGCACAGTCCTTGCTGGTCAATGACAGCATGTGTTTAATTGTAGTAAGTTTCCGCCTGTTTCCTTATTATTTATCAGTAGACATCAGAATTTATAACGTGTCAAGAAAACTGGCTGTATTTCGATTGTTTGCATAAGGAGTGTTGCAGCAGTATCTCTGCCCTCTTCAGTATTATATACGACAATGCAACTTTTCCTTCTGAGCGCTCTCCTGCGCTTGTCCAGCCCCGAGTAGGGGAGAAAGGATGTCACCAGACAGTTACTACAGGGGTAGCTGTCAGCCGAAGTGCAAGACCTTGTGGGAGGAGTGGGGCTGGAGGAAATGCCCAAGCTGCACATGAAGCCCAGGTGTGAACATTTTTTGGGGGGGACGCACAGACAGGGGGGTCCTCCCTGGCCATCTCCTTGTGGCCACCGTGGAGGGGCGCCTAACCATGGCTCGCACGGGAGGGACCGAACACCGGCGGAGGGAGCGGGCTGTGCTGGACATATCTGCCTAGGGGCTCTGCGAAGAGGCGCAGCCTGCGGCCCCGCCATGCTCCTAGGAAGAACAATGTCGGGGCCGGGCTCTCCGCAAGGTCATTCCCCGTGCCGTCACCCTCCCGGCAGGACAGCTCCGACCCGCCGTCGGGTTATACCGCCCACATCTTACCGCGGCGGCGGCCGTCTCGCGAGGCGCCCAGCCGCGCCGCGATGGCAGCGCCCGCCCGGCGCCCGCACCGCCGGCGAAGGAGCGGCGCTCCCGGCGGCCGGAGCGCGGCGGGCGCGTCCCGCGGCGGCTTCGGCCCGGCCGCCTTTGTTCGGCGGGGCGCGCACGTGCAGCGGCCGCGCAGCCCCGCGCGGTGGCGGCGGGCTGGTGCGGGGCGGCGAGCGGCGGGCCCGGCCTGGCCCTTTAAAGCCGCGGCGGCGGCGCGGCCGGGCCGGTGCGGGACACGTGAGGCGGCGGCGCGCTCTGCCGCCGCTGCCCCGGCTGCCGTGCTGCTCGTGTTTTATCTGGCCGACCGCCAGCCCCCCATCGCCGGGTTTTCGCTCTGCCTCCTCCTCCTCCTCTCTCTCTCTCTCTCTTTTTTTTTTTTTCCCTACAGCCCCCTCCTGGTTTTTCCACCCACGGGTAAAGGTGGCTTTTCTTTTCTTTTCCTTCGTTTTTGTTGTTGGTTTTGGGGTTTTTTTCCTCCCTTAACCCTCATCCTAGTTTAGTCCGTGGGCAGGACTCGCATAATAATATTTCCAGTCCCAGGAGCTCGCATCACAGACACGAACCCAGGACCGCCCCCCCTCCCTTTTTTTTTCCCTCCCAATCTCCCAAATCGTTTTATTATTATTATTTTTAAATGATCGCTCCTTTTGCGCGCTGCTCCCGCTGCTGCCGAAATCCCCGTCTTCCCAGGGTGCATGCTTCTGGCAAGATTGTGCAGTGTTCTCAGTCCATTTTCAGTGTGTCTTATCTTAATTTGTCCTGATCCGATCTAAGCGCGATAGCCACCACTTGCTTTCAATTTGTAGGACTTTTTTTCCTCTTCTTGGTTTGCTCCCGACTACCCTCGGACTATTTCCCTCTCTCCTTTCATTTCCAGGGCTGCAATTTACTCTGCCTTTCCTCTTTTTTTTTTTTTTTTTAACCTCTCCTCTTTTGAATTGCTTCATGTTACTAACCATTCCTAAATTGTAAGAGAGATTCATTCCCCCTCCTCTTCCACCACCACCAACACCACTACCACCATCACCTCCTCCTCCTCCTCCTCCCCTTCTCTTCTCTTCTCCTTTTTGGCAGCACCAGGACGTCCGGTGTGGTGGTGGCAGCGAGCAGCAAAAGCAGCAAGAGCTCGTTTTGATTCCCCCCCTTCAAGGTGCTTTGGAGAGACTGGTTTCAGGCTGAGCAGCAGAAGTCACGATGAGTGCACAAGGTGAGGGACCCGGTCAGCCTTCCACTGCTGCCCAGGAGCAACCTGCAACCGCAGAGCCTCAGAAGAGAGGACGAGGCAGACCCAGGAAACAACCACAAGTCAGTATCGTATAGATACGTAGAGCCGCAGATCTATAGTGTTATAGGCATGTACATGTACGTATTGTGCTGCAAGGAGTCCTGGCGACGGGGCGGGGGGGGGGGGGGGCTTTGTTGTGCGCTGCTCCCGGCGAGGTGGTGCAGAGGCGTAGCGAGGGGCTCCGGCGGGCGCCCCGGCGGGGGGACCCCGGAGCCCGGAGCGACGGGGCGCTGCGTGCCCGTGGCTGAACCGCAGAGCCTCCTCGGGACTTTCACTATTGTGCAGGGAGCGAGCTGGGGCTTTTCAATGTAAATGGGGAACATGGAGCAGCGCGGCTCCGACCAACCAGCGCTCGCTGGGTCATTTCGAGCTGATTTTGAAATTGCGAAAGCGAGGAACAGGGATCGGGGCTCTCCTGTCTCCCTCCTCTCTGAGCCCTCGCTATATCTCAATCTGTGTGCGCGCGTGTGTGCATGTGTCGGGTCCCACCGGGCGCTGCTGCCGCCTCCGATCTTGACCAGCCCAGCCCCTGAACTGCCCCTAGATGTTGGGGCTGGGGGAGAGGAGGGTGACTAGAGAGTCGCATAGGGTTTTTTTTCCGCCTCCCCCCCCCCCCCCCCCACCCCCGGATTCCCCCCCTTCCCTACCTCCCCCCTCGCCCCCCTCATCGCATGGAGAGAGGTGCCCCCGTTGCCGATGGAGGTGGGGGAGGTAGCCGGAGGGGGCTTGCCCTGTATTTGCAACACCTTTTGCCTTTGCTCCGGCGCTTTCCCAAGGCAGGTCGAGGCGACGGGAACTCTGCCGTGTCTAGACGCGGGGAGCGTAGCCCTGTGCTCCTTTCCACCCACACCCACAGCCTCCACCTGGGCCCCGAAACGAGTGTGCTGGGCTCCCCTTTTTGACTTGCAAGATACGACTTCGCTCTAAGGTCGCTAGATCCGTGCGTTATTCCCACCCCCACCCCCCTTCCCTTCCTTTCCCGAAGTGCCATTGTCGCATCGCCTGGAGCTGCCCAGCCGCGCTCAGCCCCTACCGCCGGGCGAGGGGCCCGGGGGCAGCCCCCGCGCTCCGCAGCCCCTCCGCCGGCGCCGCCGAAGGAGGATTTTGCCTGCGGATGCAACCAATTAATCCCGCAGCTCGGCGGGGGCAACGCGGAGCCGCCCGCAGCCTTTTCCCTGCCTCCCTCGGAAGACACGATTGAGAAGCAGGGCTGTCCGTGGAGCTCATTTTAAAGCGAGCGTCCGCGGGCTTTAAACGTGTTTACTTCCCATTCATTTGGCATCAGCCCCACTGCCACGAGAGCCTTCGAGGGGCTCGAAACACGGAGAGAGCTGAGCAGCAGAGCCCCGAGCCGGGGGAAACCCGGCTGCTTTGCTTCCTTCCCCTCCCCCGCCCCGACATGGTCCTGTAAATTTCACAGAAAGTACTTTTTTTGGGAAGCCATAAAAGCAGAGCCCCCCGTTACCTCGCTCTGCCCCTGGTTACACTCACTCCCATCGGTGCGGGCTCTGTATCCCTTCTGCTTCAGCCCCTGATTGCCCTCGACCAGCCCCGGCAGCCAGCACCCACCGACCCTGCTGGCTTGTGCCCGGGCTTCTTTTTCTTTTTTCTTTTTTCTTTTTTCTTCTTTTTCTTTTTCTTTTTCTTTTTCTTTTTCTTTTTCTTTTTCTTTTTCTTTTTCTTTTTCTTTTTCTTTTTCTTTTTCTTTTTCTTTTTCTTTTTCTTTTTCTTTTTCTTTTTCTTTTTCTTTTTCTTTTCCTTTTTCTTTTCCTTTTTCTTTTTCTTTTTCTTTTTCTTTTTCTTTTTCTTTTCCTTTTTCTTTTTCTTTTTTTCTTTATTCTATATTCTATTTTCTTTTTTTTTCCCTAATTTTTTTTCCTCCTGTAGCATTTAAATGTGTGGAAGTGAAAGAAAAACGCGTCTCCTTCAACGTGCACAGCCCAGATGTGCAGTGCCTGCGGGGCTCGCCACTGAGCTGCAGCACTTGGGGAGTCCCCTTGCCAGCCTCCCTTTAACCTACCCGGGAATTATGAAAGCTGAAGGGCTTTAAACTGGTTTAAGTTAACAAACTGCACTTAATTATTTCTACTGCATCCTGCAATATGAATGTAATGTATAATATTCAAGACTAGAAGAGTTTTATAGTGTTTATGATTCACTGAATAAATATTTGGAATCTGAATTCTTAGTAATTCATACCCAGTTTTAAGGACTGGTTATTTACTGGCAGGCAAAGGAACTAGTTAAGAAAATAGCTGTAATAGTCAGTGTCGACTCATTTTCGAGTTGGGGTTTTGTTTCACATTTTTCTTTGTCGAGTTTTTTTGGCTTATAAGTGTTCTTATAAGTATATGAAGAAACATTTAAATTTGCATGTTAATATGAATCAATTTTCTTTAGAATAGGTGTGAATATAATACCGACTGCAGAACAACAAAAACAAATTGCCCCCTTGAGAGAGTAGTCTCATCTTACTTTACAATATTCTGGTAGTTAACTTTTTCCCCCAAAAAAGCTTGTGCTAGAAACTACATGTGATAATTGTATCTTGCTATAATGCAATGCAATTGAAATTAAATGTGTAACTGTGTTATTTTTTAAATAACTGCTCTTATATGAGGGAAATCATAACCATCTTTAAAAAATGTGTTTCCTGGTATAACTTATGTGTTAGAATATTCACACTTTCCCAAGTTTTTCTATGCAATTGCAAGAGAAGTTAAACTCATTTATTGTGCAAAATATATTTTTTCCTTTACCTGGAGTTGCTAAATTGTTTATGTTGTATTATTAATACTATGTTATTTAATGACACTGTTAATTCATATGTTTTAAGCAACTTCTCAGTTTAGTTTATCCTTTAGAACATCTGGGTTAGTTGTAGCCTCTTTGCCACAATAGCATGTTTTCCTGTATTTAGGAACCAACTGGTGAACCATCTCCTAAAAGACCAAGAGGAAGACCCAAAGGAAGCAAAAACAAGAGTCCCTCTAAAGCAGCTCAGAAGGTGAGATTAATAAAGAGAAAAAATTAGTAATGCTGGTTTTTTTATCAACTGGTAGCAAAAAATCCAATAATTTAGGTTGTGAAGTGTGGGATTGGAACTCTTGATAATGGAAGCTACATAAAGCATGATTTTCACATTTTTAAAATTAGAATTAATATCAAGACCCTAAGTACAGAACTTATAAGGGCATCTTTTTTAGTAGTCTGCAGATTTGTGAAATAACAATTTCATGAGGAACCATGAGATGTCCTGTATCTAGTAAGGAAGTCAATGTTAAGGATATTATTTTCTTCATTAAGATTTTTGTAAGAGGAAGATTAATTTCTTGCCCACTTACAGTTGTTACTACTACAGACCAAATCTGTATATTAAAGCTAAGTGCTTTGTCAAACATAAGTTAATTAGGAGTAAATCCAATTATGTGTTGATGGAAATAAGTGCATATATTGAAATTTACAGCTTTAAAATGTGATGGTAAAGTAAACTTCCAGTTACAGTAAAAGCCTGTTATATCTTGTTTAGTAATCAGTTTCAAAGAGACTTTTACTGGAAGTGCTTTTAGTCTTCTGAACCACTGTTTCTGCTTGGTGATGGGACCAAACTTTATTCTGGTGGTTCTGATTGCCTTCAGCTACAGGAGAAGCTCCCTGAAGTCACTCCATTTAGTGCATGGATTTTACATCACAAATACAACATGAAAATTTGACTATATTTTATTTTAATTGGGGAAAGCACCCCATTAAAAAGCTGTGTTATCAAGGCAAATCATGCATACCCTTCTGTGGGAAATATTTTAGTGAAGGCAAATTTTGTGTATGAGCTTGAAAACAAATATGGGAGATTTGTTTATGTTTTTGGTTCTACAGCAGTTAGCACTAGTTTACAGATACTAAATCACTAAAGCTTAAAAAATCTGGGAGTGAACTGTAGTGCTAAAGTGTATCAGTATCTTTTAAAGAGGTGCGTGACAAAACGTGTGGAAGGTATTTGTGTCCTCATCTAATTATGGTTCATTTTTCAGTATGCCTATGGTACTGACCATATTAAGCTTGATAGTTTTCAGTGTTATAAATTACTATAGCAACTACTGATAAATATTAAATCATTAAAAGGTGACTATGGTTTCATGTCTGTTTTGTTTAAAGTGTTTTCAACATTTGTTTGAGGTACTTTTCCAACTGTCTTTAAATTCAAAATTTTAGTTGGTTTTATTTTTTTTTTCTTTATGGGCTGGAAAAAAAGCAGCATGTTTTGTCAAGAAATCCATGAATTAGTAAAAAATGCTTTACAGGTTTAGTATTAAAAATCTTTCAAAGCCATTCTGCAAGGTAATGTGCTTAAAATGTTGATTTTTTTTTTCTTTATACAGTAAAAGCATTCCTCAGATTCATGTTAAAATAGTTTATATGTCACTCTTCAAAAGAGAGGGAGAAGTTTTTTATTAGTCTAGCAAATCCAAATGTGAGCTTTAGTATTTTAAATATTACTCCTAGGAGTGTTGGCTTTCCTAGGAAAACATTTGTAGAAAGATAAAATTTTAAGTAATTTGTAGAAATGTTTTTAAAAGATGCCTCTGAAAGGAGTATTGCCATTATTTCATTTACATAAGTGATTTGGAAATGAGTATAAATAGAAAATAATTTAAAAACATTCATATATGTGTAGGTTTATCAAATCAAGAGTTTTCCAGATGATTCTGGTACAAAGTTATACTTTCCCAGTCTAATTTACAAACTGAGTAATTTCATTGTAACATTTTGATTTTCAGACTGCATCAAGTTACTGCTCTAATTAAGGCTTTTGGGTGTTGCTAATGTAAAAAATTGACCAAAGACCATGTGTCTCTTTTTGTAATAGAAAAAAACCTTTTGAGGGGTATGTAATTACAAGTCTTACTGGTTTCTGGGTTTATAGATAAAGTATGTAAGTGTTTGATAAATCCTCTAAAACATAAAGCACTTATAAAGCCTCACTAGAAGAATGAGTCTGGTATCACATTTCAAATAAATATTTTAGCCCTTTTTCCAAATTGATAATTAGCCCTCTCTAAAATAGATCAGCTTTTCACCACATATCTCAAAGTATCTTTTAATGCAATATTATTTCCAGTATTTTTTCTAACTGTAATATGGGTGGGAATGTTTTGGCACTGTAAGAAAGCTTCATTTGGTGGTGAGGGTATCACCTCTAAAAGGAGTGAACTATATGTTCAGTTTTGTGGTACACGTATTTACACATACATATGCATACATGCATTCATTAAGACTTGCTCCAGCCTGTCTCAACTCCCAGAAACAGCACTGGGTATCTTAGCTTAAGCCCCTCTACATGTGAACCTGGGCACTATACACCCAGCTGGAATGGGCTGGAATTTCTAAAGAATAGTGCGTGCCCTGTTTGTTTCAAAGGGAGCTCATTGAAATGCTCCAGAGTGTTCACAACATGTTAGATAAACGGCGACCAGGAGAACCCACCGAGCAGCCATGAGAAGGCACTCATGATTAATTGATTGGGTGTTCTCTTGCAAAGCATTACACATCACAATTAAAAATGTATTGCACAAACTGGCAGTGAGTTAAAAATACTCCAGAACTGGGGCTTTGTTTTGTTATACGTCAAAAAGGAAATACCCTTAAATCACTTGATGGACAATTTTCCCTGGAATTGTGGTTGTGTTGTATATTTAAAATTTCTTGGTTCACAGGATTTTTAAAAAATTTTTGGTTTGGTTTTTGATTTTTTTTTTTTTAGCTTTAAGAGCTTGTGTTTGGTCTTAGTAAACTGGCCTTGGGGCATCTGAAAACAAACTGTGCTTGTTAGGGAATTAGCAATGTGAAACTTGACAATGCATACAAAATGTTGCAAAACTAACTGAACAGCTAATAATGTGGCAATTACTCTAATTTTGGGTAATATCCTTTCTTTCTTCCTTAAAGCCTTGCATATCACACATGCCTAAGTTTTTATAAACTAGACACAAGAAATAAACTGTGTTTTATAGAAGACCAAACCATTTCTCCATTGTTTAATTTTCACAAACAGGAGGAACACAATGTGTTACCAAATAGATAAGAAGAGGCAGAGACAAAAAACTCCTGATCACCTTGCACTTGAGTCCCCACAATTAGGTTGTTATTATGCAGTCTACATCTTTAAACAAGTTATTCTGTCATTAATTTTAAATATTTTTTAAAAAATAACAATATGTGAATTTGGTTTTGGGTTTTTTTCTCCCTAAAGCACAACTATTTTTTTCAGGAAGATCATAGTGGGGAATCTTCCTTTTTAATTTCCTGGGTGTTTTGTGGTTGAATTTTATATGTTTGGTGAGCTCTGTTCCCAGCCCATCACATTTCCCTTTCTAGGTTTTTTTTTGTTTTATTTTTTTTTTTCAGTTCCTATAGTTTGGCTTGACAAAAATACTGTGTAGGCATAAATACTTTCCTGTTTGGGAGCAGGAAATACATTTGTGACATTAGAAAAAAGAGTAGTAGCTACTATATGATTGTCGTTAAAGGAATTGTCAAGGGATGTCCCAAGAATATCCAATGGTAAAAATTCTTTAGTAAAATTTACCTTCTGCTAAAATATGTTGAGTTTTGTTGTAGTTATTGGTATAGTGAGATTCACTGAAAATGCCTACAGGGCTTGATGCATCATCCTCTGACAACTAAAGCTTGTGGTCCTGTGTGTGACTACACTTGCTATTGTCTCTACCTTACATGGCCAGGTTGGTATGTAGAAAGGCATGCCCCTGGGTTAAGCAGTCCAAAGGTAAAAGAAAAAAAAAAAAACAAACCAGAAAAGTGCATGTGATGAGGACTCTGCCCTGAATTGGGTCACGAAAATCTAGTTGGCTTCTCCATGCTTCATTCATTTTCATCAACACCAGTCATTACAAGCTTAAAGGGAAAACAAGATCAAATTTATCAAGTGATTGTTATTGCACTGAAAAAATAAGAGACCTCAAAATCAAATGTTTTGACCAAGATAGGAAAAGCAGAAGACTGATTTTTGTTTAGCATTAAAATGGATAAAACAGGACATGGCAAGTGTGATGTTTTTGTACTTAGTCAATGCCTAAAGGTTTTTTAGGAGTATTTTTTGACTAATAACTTGTGCGGTTTTTTTGAGAGGGACACATTCCTGGGCTGGGTCTTTTGACTCTGTTTGGCAACAGAGATCTTCCTCCTGAGAGCTATCACTTATTTTACCTGACTTACAGCTCTGATACACTTTATCTGAGATCTCCAGCAGATCATTTTGCAAAGTAGATAGAGTTCTTCAAATTTGGATTCTGTTGCATTTAAGGTCTTCCTTGACAATACATGGATGCCCAAAGAGCACTTTATAGCCATTCAATTATTTATACTTGTCTTGTCTTGTTCATTGCTTTCAGTAGTACAGCCTTGGTTTCTGGCTGGGTTCAGCACATTTTTGCAGTAAGGAGGCAGAGATCATGGGCAGTCAAGTCCTAGAGTTGCTGAGAGAGGCTGTTTGGAAGCAGGGTTTGATGGCCCTGTGGTACAGGGCTTAAGTGGATTGCACACCTTCCTGGGGACTGTTAGCTCACTTCCAGATAGCAGTGACTGAATTATGATCTTTCTCACCTGTGATAAATAAATACCACTTCCCATATAGATCATGCTTTTAAATGTGAGAAAGTGTAGTTCTGTTCCTCAAATGTGACATTGCAAAAATGGTGTGTTCATATTATTATTTATAAGAAATTTCCTATTTTTAATGAAATACACTTTGTGTTTGATAACATACCTGACCCTTGTGTAAGCTTCGGTGATTTCATGTTTTAACTGTAAAAAGCAAGGTCATGCCTCATAGCATAGGAGCACCAAATGTTAAAAACCCCCTGACCAAACACCACCTCTGGGTGGCCTGGAGCTCTGTCAGGATTTGCCCCTAGCTTCAGAGGTAACGCTTCAATTAAAGCCAAGAGCCAACAGAATGGAGTGTTTCTGATGGTGCAAAAATCTGTTCAAGGGGAAAGGCAATGTATTAGTGCTTTCATGGAGAAGCAATGGATTACCTATCTTATACACAGTAAAACATTTCTTCAAGGCTTCAGTTAAAAGAAAGTCTAATGCTATTGGAGAAAATACAGCACTTAGCTAAAATACAGTATTTTAGCAAAATGCAGGCTGAAAAAAGAGGGAAGGAGGTAGAATATTTTTCTGAACTTCATGTATTTATCATTACCACTGTGCTGTTACTGCTCCTTTCATTTGTTCTCTAAGTGTTTTGTCTTTCTCTTCTCTTGAAAAGGAGATTAAAACTTCCACTTTGGAGGTTCTTGTCATTCATTTTCTGCAGTTTAATCTGTGAAAACCTTGCTATTTACTTACAGAATCTCTCTGATGTACCAAAACATCACCTTTGGCATGCCTGGCTGTTTGCTCAGCTCACCTCTGGGAAAGATTTGGTTTTGATAAGAGCTATGGAAATGTTTTTCTTCTAACATGAGGTGGAAGTCACATACTGCAGGAATATAGTGCCTTTCAATCTGCACAGTCCCCAAGCACTTGACAAACCATTACCCAAACTAGACAGCAGGAACACTGGCCACTTCTGACATGGACCTTTGGTGGTGGTAGAGCTCAGCACTGCTGAGCTGCATGAGAAGCGGCCACCCTGTGTGACAGTTTATGGCAGGAAGCAAAGATTAGTTATTCAAAGAAATCTCTCATGTTCATTATAATTTGAAGCTAAAATTTGTGTCAGGTTTGTATGGACTTTAATTATTAGATCGAAGTAGTTTTGTATTCAGAAAGTTAATTATTTTTTTAATAGAGTTCTGGAAAAGGATCTTTCCTTCAGATGCAGTAATACATGCAAGAAAATAAATAGCCTTAGTGCTCTGATAACATGTCAAGTGTTGATTTGTTAAGACCAATTATAGCTGATATTTCTTTTTAAGATTTATGCCCTGTGTTTCATGCAGTAAACGTAGAAGCAGGGAGCTGTGGGTTATCAACACTAAACCATATCTGGTTTTTTGCATCCTTCAGGTTACAAGGTATAAAGAAATTGACCGCTTAAAGGAAACAAAACTCTGAAATAGACAGCTACAGGATATAGTAAATGCACTTTAACAAGTATTCTCTTAAGAGGGTTTCACCTTACATGTAACACTGGTATAAACTATTAAAGCTCAAGTTTACTCTTTTAACAAGTCTGAGTGATAATTTTGCCCTTCAGGAGTGTGAATTTTATTTTTCACAGCTTTCTTATTGTGAGGTATTTATTTCAAAGTAATTGCATTTAACTCACAGGGCAGGTTTTTTTGTAGAGATTCCTCCACTAGTTCCTCAGCTCAAGTTCTCTTCTAGAGAGATCCGATTTGCACAGCATTGGGTTACAGTATATGTTACAGTGATTGACCAGCAAGTGATTTATTTAATGGCACAGTTAATTTCTAAGGGCAAATCAAATATACATACAGTTTACTGGGGGGGAAAAAACCAAAGGAACGCAGTTCATGTGTACTAAAAGTCTTCTTTCTTGGGGACCTTGTATCTGGCAAGTCCTGCCCTGACTACAGGTGGTGACAAAATCTTGAGTGGAACAGGATAATTTACCTGGTGAAGTGTATGGATGAACATAGCCTAGCTAGAGAGAATAACCTGGAATTTTCATTTTAAACTCTGTAAATTTTTTAGTGTACTACATAAGTACTGTTATTAGTGGTAGTATTCACAATGTCATGCAGTGGAATTAGTGGAAGAGCTTATAAAAGGACCCATATTTCCTTTAAGCTGAGCTCCAGGGGCAACTGCTGGGCTTACATAAATACAGCGGTCACTTCTAGGGCCTCTTCCACTTTGTTCCCTTAAACCTGGACAGGGAAGGTGTGTTTTGGGCCGTGGAAGGTTTACTTATAGCCTAAAGGTGTGCTTTTACCTGGAAAACTTTGTGTGAAAAGTAGAGAAATTGTTTCCCAATAAGAACATAGACATGTTGTTCATGGTGATATTTTGTCCTAATTACTTTCATGCATGAACATAATGAGACAAAAAAATGAATTTTAGCTGCTCTAAACTGCTTTGATCAAACTTGAAACAGGCTGCATTTTTAATTTAGTATCTTCAAGTACTTTTTGATGGCATATGAAAGATTAGATTTGATATTCTTGGAGGTTCCCAGGTTTCCCAATTGCCCTGTGTCCCCACCATCAGCCTGCATGTTGGGTGGCTGGCCAGGGCACCCCTGCTCTGCAGAGGGCCCTGAGCAGCTGGGGTTGTGTGGGCACACTCCTCCATGGCCCTGCCTGACACAGCCTGGCTTTGCAGAGGGCCCTGAGCAGCTGGGGCTGTGTGTGCACACTCCTCCATGGCCCTGACACAGCCCCAGCTCTGCAGAGGGCCCTGAGCAGCTGGGGTTGTGTGGGCACACTCCTCCATGGCCCTGACACCATGTGGCTCTGCAGAGGGCCCTGAGCAGCTGAGGCTGTGTGGGCACACTCCTCCATGGCCCTGACACAGTGTGGATCAGGGCTGGGGACACCCTTGGATGCAGCTGAGGCTGTGTGGGCACACTCCTCCATGGCCCTGACTCAGCCCCTGCTCTGCAGAGGGCCCTGAGCAGCTGGGGCTGTGTGGGCACACTCCTCCATGGCCCTGACACAGCCTGGCTTTGCAGAGGGCCCTGAGCAGCTGGGGCTGTGTGGGCACATTCCTCCATGGCCCTGACACAGCCTGGCTCTGCAGAGGGCCCTGAGCAGCTGGGGCTGTGTGGGCACACTCCTCCATGGCCCTGACACAGTGTGGATCAGGGCTGGGGACACCCTTGGGTGCAGGTGAGGCGCTGCCTAGGAAATGTCAGAAAAAGGAGCATAGTCACACATTCTGCCAGAAAACACACAGCTTAGCTGGGGGGCCTGGTGCCACCCAAGAGGTATGATTGTAGCTAATGTTACAGGAAAGGAGTTCCTAGTTACTGAGGCTGTTAAGTAATGCTGAGGTATAAAATATGTTGTGTTTCTTTTACAGAAAGCAGAAGCCACTGGTGAAAAGCGACCTAGAGGCCGGCCCAGAAAATGGGTAGGTATTTCACTTCCAGATTTATTTGCTGTGTTATAAAGCATGTTATAAAGTCCATTCCTTTAGAGAACAGTAATTTCATTTGTAAGAAAAGCATCTATCTTCTGTGCCTCTTTGTTCTGGTGGATTGACTAAAGGGTTAAGAGAGCAAAGAAGTTGATCACCGCTTCCTACCTTTAGACTCTGGTAGTTTGCTCAAGACACTTTACAATTGAATGTTTGCTTCGAGTGAATATTTATGCCTATCTTATCAGCATGAAAAGAGGCTCAACTCTTCCTTAAAAGAGAGTAACAATGAGATAACTTGTTCAGTAATTGAGTAACAAAGGTTATAAAGGGGCACTATGGGACATCAGAGGGGTGATAAGACTCAGATGTAGGGTACAGGAGATAAAGTTTAAAAACCAAAATGCTTTTGTTCTACATTGCCTGGAAACATGCATATTTTTCCTTAAATCCAGTGAGAAAGAGCACAGATGAACGGCAGGATACTTGTGTGTAGAACTTAGTTTTTCCACTCACAGTCATTTTCATGCCTCATATATTTGTAGTGACTGGTAATATATTTCATTAAAAGTTTCCACCTGACCCCATTTAGTCTTTAGAAGTGTCTATCAGAAGTGTGTTTTTATTCTTTGGCAATGGAAGTATTTCATTCTTAGGTACTTGAAATTTTGTACCCTCACTGATGTTTACAGCTAATCAGCCTGGTGCACCTCTCATCTGCATGTTTTTCACTTGTGTACGGGCTTTCACATGGGGTGTCACTTGGAAAATGGGATTGAATATTAGATGATAAAAAGGTGTGCCTGTGTGCTTCATCACAAGTTAACATTTCTGATTTCCTTTTTCTAGTTCCCTTTCCCTGCTCAACATTTTTCTTTAAACTTCTGTTTCAAACCCACCCCCACCATCTCAATTTCAAACCCTTATTTCATTCTGTATTCTCTTTCCTCTTGTCAGTCCCGTCATTTCCCCCTCCATTTTGTTCAGTTCTTTTGCATAGCTGTTAAAAGAGTTGTACAATATGCTTGCAAAAGCTCAAACAGCACAAGAAGGTACTGAAAACTACAGCTAAGGTTCCCCAGAGTATTAGCCACTAAACACAGGAAAGCTGGCTTTAGCAGTCTCTTTAAAAACTAGTTCTCTTGCATTTTCCAGTGAATGTTCCACAGGATATTTCTTTGGAGAAAACAGACCACTGCATACTAGATGAGTGGTTTATACCACTTTAGTTTTAAAGTCAGGCACTTTTCAGGTACATGAGGAAGCTTACTGGTGTTGAAAAAGTGGCTTTTGGAACGTATCTATGCTGGTGATCTTCTAATAAGCAGCTTGGGGAAGGCAAATGCCAGATGCAGTAAAACGTGGGTCAGTTTCTGTCTGCTTCCTCTCGTCTGGCTTGAACCTTGCATATCTGGATGCTGAGTGTTGCTTGCTTGATCCTCACCTTGGGTGCAATCCCTGGGAAACAGCAAAAATAGTTGGTTTATGAGAGTAATTAATTTATAATAGTCAAGCCATCCCCTCCGAGTTAGGAATGTGTGACAGGTGAATAGGGGTGGTTGAAGAGTTTGGGGAAAAGGGAAAAGGCATCATACTAAAAAGGTTTTCTCTTCCAAGTATTCATTGTCAGAAACTAAGGTGAGTTTTCAGTGAAAAGGGCTAATACAGCATTTTGACAGCTTGTAGAATGTTTCCCTTCTGTGTGGGGGGAAGAAAGAATAGGCAGTATCAGTGGAGCATTCAGCATGGAATGGGCTATTTGTCAAGCCAAGAATCTGATTTTCAGAAATAGGAATTACTGAAATGGGTTGTATGCATTACTTAATTATGAGACCAATACTTTCAAGACTTTCACTCTTTTAAAAAAAATTAATGCATATTTTGCAACTCAGTATTACTTTGCTGTTGTACCTGTTGAATGTCTTTTTTACTTCGTTATTCTGATATGATTGCTTCTTGTAATTTTTAGAGATAATTCTCCAAATCTGCAGCTTGCATTGAGATAATGGCATTTTTGATTCTCATGGACTGAAGAGTTTGTCCCCCTTCTCTTTTTTCTCTCCAGTTTAAATTGAGTTCATGGGCTCCTTCTAGCTTGTAGTTAGTTGGACTCAGGGGAGGAGTCTGCCTGAAAGCAGATGGTACAGCATCATCCTTTTTGTTTAGACCTCCAACATGTAGTCAGAAAATGTCCTGTTTTATCACACATATTTCAGTTTAATCCTTAATGATTATAAATTTCCTTAATCCAATTTATTTATATGTCAGGCCTTACTGATGATGGTTTAGTATCTGTGCAAGTAAGGAGCGTGTAGGGTTTTTTTGTTGGAGAGGGCAGAATTCTACATTTTCATAAGTTTATAACCCTTTTTTTGGGAGTCTAGAGGTTCTGTGTCATATGTTGTTCATCAAATTGTAAAATATTATTTCTGCTGTTTCCTTCAATATACACATGCAGAGACATACAAGCTAACAGACCACTGTAGAATTCCGGTAGCTGGTCTTTCTGCTGGTTCAAATTAAGTATTTAATGTTTGTGATTCGCAGTGTATTTATTTATATATTATTTTTTAGAAGAGAAGTAAATCTTTTTTGACTAGTATAAAACTGAGAGGGGGAGGGAGAGCCCAAGTGAAGAGGGCAAAAAGCCCAGTTTATCACAAACATATGAGACATCAGATGATCTTTTTAATGTAATAATGTGTACTTTACAAAGCTGTCAAGGGAAAGAAGACCCTATAGAATAGATAGAAAAAATTAAACAAAATCTTCTGAAAATAAAATATTCAGCTACATAGAAAAGCTTTCTAAATGTGGAGGGCTAATTGAATAAAAGTCCTGAAGATAACAAGGTCAAGCAAGTGGGAAATGAGCATAGTTGAAATTAAAAACACAGTGCTTGCTGCTGTAAAACTCACCTTCACTGTAGGTTGCTGCACCTGTGTGAACACATTGAAGGCTGTGAGTCTATTACCTATTAATCCTCTTCATGGGGGCCTCAGTACTCCTTAATTTTAGAGGTTTTATTTCACAGACATATTCTAAGCTCCTTGGATGCATCTGCATTAGTGTGTTAGGTCAAATCAGGAGTATGCTTCAGAAATGCAGCTCCTAATTTTCCCCACTTACTGTATGCATTGTGTAGCAGTCCCAGAGATCATTGGTTGGACTCCTTTCAAATGGAACCAAATTGGAAGATGTGCTGTAGAAGTGCAGTCTGTTAGACATTCAAGCCACAGGACTAGGCTAGAGTGAAACAAAAACCTCTTGAAAGGTGTGTGGTTTGGACCTTAGGTCCTCAGTACCATCCTGTGGTCCATATTGTAGACATAGCCTTTGATGCTTAAAAAAAAAGCCTATGAAGCAACCTGTTTTTTATTAGCAGAATTATTTTATGTAGCACAGGCATAAAGTCAAATTCACATTCACAGGAGTCAGTGAAAGGTTTGTCATTAACTTCATCGGGGCCACGTGTTTGCCATTGAAGCCTGGTGCTGCTGCTCATGGACTCAGAGACGGTTTTGCTCATGGCTTCATGTAGTCCTTTGTAAAGATCAAAGGTTTTTTATTTTACTCATTTCGTTTGTGTATGCCTATAATTTGACTGAAAGGAAGGGACTAAAGTTTTATGAGTAGAGCAGAGGACTAAGTAATCAATTGTTTTGCTGTTTGTTCCAAAGAGCTGCATTGGAAGGCCCTGGAAATTCCATAGTCTTCTAGTGCTCTCAGGCATCAGTTTAATGGAGGAATCTGAAATCCAGTTTGGAAGTTGATGCAGAAAAGGGTATTTGTTTTTAATTTCCATTGTTTCTGTTGAGTCTTTAGGTAGATTTTTCTTTTTTGCATTTCCAAATTGACTTGAACCATAGACTCTCTGTATAGAATGGCAGAATTGTTCCAGGGGAACAGTCCAGAGCTTTTTACAGCCTTGAGCAGGACTTTGGTGAGGAGAAGAGATGGCTGATTCCATGCCATGTAGCTGTTTTAAAAGATGGATAGATGCAATTCTAGAATTTACGTGATTGTAACAGCAGAAGATGGTTGGTGACCTTCTGACAACATGTGGGATGCATGTGAAGCATCTGCTTGCGCGTCTCATCACTGAAGCCTAAGTAAGAACTGTGACTTGTTCAGAAAACTTCCAACAATTTTGTCAGTATAGAGAGCATATTTCAGTTTGGTAGGAGATAAGAGATTATAAGAAAAATAATTTCCTTAAGCAGATTTTTAATCTAGATCCTAGTCATGATCATCTAGACAAGCTGAGAGAGAAGGGGCTGTTCAGCCTGGGGAAGGCTTCAGACAGACCATAGAGCAGCCTCCCAGTAAGCAGAGAGAGCCACAAGAAAAATGGAGATGGACTTCTTACAAGGACCTGTAGTGACAGGGCAAGGGGAAATGGCTTTAAACTGGAAGAGAGTGGTTTAGGTTAGATATTAAGAGGAAATTGCTTACTGTGAGGGTGGTGAGACACTGGAACAATTGTTCAGAGAAATTGTGAATGTCCCACCCCTGGGAGTGCTCAAGGCCAAGGTAGATGAGGCTTTGAGCAACCTGGTCTAGTGAAAGGTGTCTTAGCTCATGGCAGGGTGTTAGAACTAGGTGATCTTCCAGGTCCCTTCCAACCCAAACCATTTGATGATTATATGATTGATGATTATAGTACTTTTTTAATAAGGGCAGAGTTTCATTTTATGCAGAATGCCAATTTAAGCAGTGCCAAACCACATTTTAAAAAAATTACAAAAATGCTTTTTTATAGTAAATTTTTCTTCAGATTATTTCCAGTTCAATTCTGACATTGCTGAGATACAAAACCTTGAACATGGAATTGGTGACATTTTTCTATGCCAGCAGTTCCTGTGTCAGGGTAAGAATTTCTAGGCTCATTAAGATTTTGAAAATGAGGTTCTTAATTTTGAAGAAATACATACCAACAAAATCCCATTGCCTCAGAGGACCTGTCAATGTTTTGAGGCTATTTCTTGCCCCTA